GACTCAACTTGTCCAACACCAAATTCATGATTAGTAGTCCCATACATGGTTATTTCCCACTCATCTAATTGAATAAGCCATAAAGCCAGGAGCTTCATTTTCCTTTACATCCCATATCCTATTAGAATCTCCTGTGCCACCATGTACCTGTTGCTACCACTTATCTCAGCACTTTTACATTCATTTCTCTGGGTATTTGACTAATGTCTGTCTCCCACCCCACAGTGCACACTCTGGTGAACAGAGACCTATTTTTGCTCATACTCATATCCCCAGAATACATCACAGTATCCACCCTTCCAGTGTTTAATAAATAGTTGTTGAATAAATAAATCTTTAAGCTTTGAACTCATAACTGGGAAATAAGCTTGATGTGAAAACTTATAAATAATTCCTCTCCTTCCTATCTATATGAAGATGTGAGTTATTTCCCCAGGCAGTAAGAGGTTGTAGTTTGACACTCATCTTGAGATTACCCTGAGTTTTTAGTTCAGTGCCACCTTGTACATCTACCCGAATTTCTTGAACATTTCCTGTTGAGTACAATGACTCCTGTATCTGCTGCCTCTCATTAATATTAACCCAAATATATTGTTCAGTTCCATGAGTGGGTAATATTAAATACTTGATGCTCACAAGTCAGCAAGTGCAGATAGAGGTCCTGAGGATGGGGATGAGGCAAGGGAAGGGCGGAGTTTATCTCAGAATTCATCTTTGTGGATTGGAGTCCAGCTCGCGCTGTTAGTTTCAATGAGTTTACTTAATACCTGACTCTGTTTCTACATTTCCGAAAGTGGGCACAGTACTAAAAATACGTATAGCACAAAATTATTGGGAGAATTATATGGAAGAATGTCTTTGGAATCACTTTTTAAACTGTACAGTGACACAAATGTCATGTAACGAGCCCAATGTGAACAAGGTTGGAGTGAATCCTAAAATAGCAATGGGACTGTGGAGGTTTCTGGCAAAGTGGGTAACTATCTTTCACAGCACATTTCCATCTTGTTTCTGAACTTGTTTTTGAAATGAATAATGGACTGCTTGCGGCAAAGACAAACATAAAAAAGAGGAGTGACGCGCACTTTTAAAATCTTGTATTTAACCAATGAATTTGGAGTCTGTATTTCCACCGTGTTTCAGCTTCCAGGAAACCCCCACCGCCCCAGCGCCTCCCGCCACCCCGGCGGCCGGACAGCGCAACACGGTAGGCCTTTTAACGCCGCCTGTTCCGGGTGCACGTCATCAGATTGTGACACAGCGCCTTTACGTGGGTGCTCAGTTGTTACGTCATGCGCCCTCTGCACTATATAAAGCTGAACTCTGAAGCTTCTCCCAGTTGTACCGGACCGTGCGGGAAGCGCCGCGTCGCGGCCCGTGGCTTCCCGAGCTGCGGCGACCAGTGTCCCCCTGGTTCCCAGCTGCCCGCCGAGTGCCTCCGGGCCGAAGAAGAAGGAAGACGCAGAGGAGGAAACTCAAGCATGCTGTTGCTTCTACTGAGCGGCATTCTGTTTGCTTTTCTGTTTGTCTTCTGGAAAAGCCGCTTTCAGGTAAACGTATAAGAGAAATTGGAATTAGATGAAGTTAGATGGTTCCTGAAAGGGGGGGGGGGCGGTCTGAGAGAGTAGAAAGATACTAAAATAGTAAAATAAGAGTAAGGAGAGGTCATTTCATTCCTTCTCTTGCAACAGCCTCAGATGTTTACCCCCAAACTTCCCTTTTATTGACCAATGATTCAGCAGCTGTGGCCCCCCGGTAAAAAGCCCCAAGTCGCAGAGTAATATGGTCAGCTTTGCACCCACTTGAAAAGTAGAACCGAAAGGGCCCACCCTCCACCACCACCTCCTATTTTAGGAATCTATACCTTCTCTATGTTCTCTAGCTTCTACTATTCCTTATGTTTGTTTGCCGGTTTCACCCTGGTTTCAACCATCTTTATAAGAGGTATTTGGGCATTCACAAATAATTCAGGTCAAAATGTGGGTTTCCTGGTGATACGGAAAGTTGCAAGTGACTTTTGATAGGATCAGGGTCCAAGTATAGACCTACTGTTCGAGAAATGTAAGCCAAAGATGTGACATTTTGATATTAAATAGCTATTCTCATATATATATTTTTTCAGTCTTTGGGAAGAGCATATTTCTGAGTCAACATTGTTGTTCAACAGATTTTCAACCTCTAATTCTAAGGAGAGGATAATCAGCTTATTTTGATAACCAAGACTAAGCATGTTATTTGGTCTACCCTTGAACAACGTAGGCTTGAACCCCGTGGGTCTTATACTCTCTTTTTTTTATACAGTCCAGTACTGCAAATGTATTTTCTCTTCCTTATGATTTTCTTAATACAATTTTCTTTCTTTCTTACATATGCTATGTAATACATATACAAAATATGTTAATCGACTATGCTATCTGCAAGGCTTCTGGTCAACAGTAGGCTATTAGTCTTTAAATTTTGGGAGAATCAAAAGTTACACATGGGTTTTTGACTGCACAGGGAATCAATGTCCTTAACCACCAGCCCCCTGCCTTATTCAAAGGTCAGCTTCTTTTTGGAAATGTTTAAACTCAATAAACTACATATGTATAATTTCCTTCCCTTACAGAGCAGCGTTGGTGAAATGTCATCAAATTCGACTTCTCTTGCACTAGTAAGACCAACCTCTTCTACTGGGTCAACTAAGAGCAATACTGATAAGAGTCTTTCAGTCAACAGCCTCTCTCGGGAAATCTTAATTAATTTCCCACACACGATAGCCATGCAGAAGCAAATATTGGTAAACCTCAGGATCGTGGAATACAAGCTGGCTGAATTGGAACTTTTCCTAGTTTTCAAGGATTTCAATGGTGCATTAATTAACTGGAAATCTACTGACAGAGATTAGAGAATGTAATGACAGTGGAGGCAATCATTAAAGGCACTTTGAGTGAATTCATTTGATTATATGTGTTTATACCAAATGAATTGTTTAAAAGGGGAGGGGATGCCAAGTCAGGTATGAAATCCAGACATTTATCAATTTGCTTTTACTGATATTTAAAGAATTGATTATATGTTTTATATATTTTTATATATACAAGTTTGACAAGTTTATAAACATATATATGTTTAACTGGGGAAGGAATGAAAGCACAGTAGACAAAGAAACAGTTCCAAAGGTTTTCTTTTAAAAAAAATAAGCACAGTAAAAAGAGTATAGTTGAGATGTAGCTATTTCAATTTCACTCACATGTGAAAAACTTTTTTGGTGTACAGTACAATATTGCAAATGTCTTTTTGTGTTAAAGTAAATGGGATTTGATAGAACTTTTTCTTTTATACAGAATACTCTATTACACTGTTGAATCTGTGTATTAAGAGCTATCATTGAGCACCCTAAAATATGCCAGGCATTGTTAAGATCTTGCTGTAGACACTTGTGAAGATAGTCACATAAATTCTTCCTCTTTGTAGTCAGCTCTTGAAGGGAATTTCTTACCCGTCACCCTGTCCTCCATCAATTTGATATTATCTCATTAGAAATATGCCTAAATCTTCCCTGAATTGCAAAAATCACCTATAGAAAAAGGCATGGGTTTTTTTTTATTTGGTGAAAAATGGACATCTCACATAGCACCAAAATATGATGATAGAATGCATTTAATGTAATATGGATTAAAATTAAGAAAAAGTATTTCTTGATTCTAATCAGCCATCTATTTCAAATGTTTTATGAAATCCAGTGTAACTGAGGAATTAACAATCTGTTGAAGTTCACTGATGGCATTTGACTTATCCACAAAGAAAATCCTCAAAATATCTATCACAAGTTAATTTTATATATATGTATGTGGTTCACTGAGATTGTTCAATTATAGCCCCATCTGTTTACCTACTGTAATGCCCCAAAATAAATTACCAGTATAAATTAAATACCTTAATCCCTTACTCCTTTAATCTTCAATCAAAATGAAGAGGAAAGGAATTTTAAAAGTATTAATTTAGGAACACCTGGGTGACTTAGCAGTTGAGGTCTGCCTTTGGCTCAGGGCGTTATCCTGGAGTTCCGGAATGGAGTCCCGCATTGGGCTCCCTGCATGGAGCCTGCTTCTCCCTCTGCCTATGTCTCTGCCTTTCTCTCTGTGTTTCTCATGAATAAATAAAATCTTTTTTAAAAATTAAATGTATTAATTTAAAATTAAGCATTAAAATGATTCCTTTTATTTTTCATTTGCTGAGAACAAAAAGCCAAAAGTAGTAGTGTATATGGTTCTTAAGCTCTTTTGAGTCATAGATCCCCTTTAGTATTCTTATGAAACTTAGACTCTCTCTCTAGAAGAATGTATGTATACATACACACAGAATGATATGTATAATGTCAGTTTCATATGTTCTCTGAAGCCCAGGTTAAGAACCTTAAAAATAACTGAGAAGTTTCTTACATATTTAGGCAATGTTCACCATCCCAGGCTGTGATGTTTAAATTAGTAGTCAATAATCAATGTATAAGCCTATTAATGATATGTTTTTATTATCCTTTGTAAGGAAACTGGGACATATGACTTTCTAATTTGCCTTCCCTTATTCTTGACAAATTTATCTTCTATAAGTATGTAAATAGAAGATTATCATCTGTAAGTAGTAACTTAACTCAAGACAAAAATAATTTTACGTGATCTATTAAGTATATATTACAATCCTAAGATCTTAGATTTGATTGAAGCCATTTCCTCATTAGTATTTTGTCCCGTGTTCTATTTGAAAATAAACCTAGATTTCAGAGAATATAATGAACAACTCTTAATTTTGTGAAACACAGTAGAAATTAGGTGGGAGATATTTTCTTTCAAATATAACCTGAGGAAGATACTATATGGAGTAAGTATTCAAAGCTTCTGGATTCCATTTTCTAGATTTATCATTTACTGGCCATAGAATCCTGATTTTTCTGCCTTATTTCACTATTTGTAGGTGAAGAACATAACCACTAAGTTCACATAGAAAAAGAGACCCGTAAATACATGAAAATTTTATATATATATTTGGATTAAAAGTATTAAACTACAGTGCTCATATACACAATCCATTTTTTCATATATGTATGACATTTCTAGTTAAACGAGGCCTTCAATTTTAACACTTTCTTTTAAATATACTGATTTATTTCCCCCAGCTTTATGGAAAAGACAGTTTGTAAACTAAGAAAATAAAAGCAAATAATATTTTAAAACTTATATAATAGAAAATATAACAGTTTTCTAAATCACTGGCTCAATATAACGTCTTCAGCGTATTAGAAAAATATAATATTTACAAAAGTGACATAGAGACAGCTGTGTGTTATACAGATAGATAATCTAAAAAGAAATATAATAATCACATTGTTAAATAGTAGTAGATTCACATTATATTACATTCCTGCTTAAATGGGAAAAAAGTTTATACTATCATGAATATAGTATAGACGTTTTTCTACTCGGCCAGCATATAAATAAATAAAATTTTCCTCTGTTCTAAAATAATCACATTGTATGACCACATATTTTTATAAATTAGATCTCATTCTGGTTTTCTACTGCCACTAACAGTAGGTATTTCATGGTCAGTCTCTTTTTTAGGGTCTACCATGTCTTTATATCTCTCCCCACGATGTCGTTCCAGGTATGGACCCCAGTTAGAAGCTGGTCTGCAGCAGCTTACAAAGCGCTGAAAAGAAAAAAAAACTTGTTTTAGACCATAAGTGCTACATCTGTAAACAAGCAGATATCAAACCATATTTTCATTGCAAAATATTAAGTTTTTTTGCTAACCAAAATGAAATGGGAACCATAGAAAGGTAAAAGGTGGTCATCAAAAATTCTTAGTACAGTGTACTAAAAAAATGATAGTGGGAAGCCTAGGTGGCTCAGTGATTGAGCGTCTGCCTTCGGCCCAGGGCGTGATCATGGAGTCCTGGAATTGAGTCCTGCATCATGCTCCCTGCGTGGAGCCTGCTTCTCCCTCTGCCTGTGTCCCTGCCTCTCTGTATGTGTCTCATGAATAAATAAATAAAATCTTTTTAAAAAATTAATTAAAAATTAAAAATGACACTCAAATTTAACTGTTTATAGAATTATATTAACTACAAAACCAAAATAAGTGAGTATGTAAATGATTTGAAAAGAAAATGTATGGGCCTGTTTGAACAATGGAATCACTCCGTGTTTTTCACTGAATTCTCTGACATTTTGGTCCTGCCCTTAGAGTGAGGGTTATGTGAGGATATAAACCAGTGTATACCTGGGAGGTTCCAAGAACCAAATAAAAGGAGCTCAAGGATCAAACCACTGATTGGAATGAGCTTGGGAAATTACCTAAAATCTGACTGGAGATTTGTCCTAGTCATTATCCTAATGAGATGTCATGATCAACTGCATCCCCCTATGTCTCCGTGAAAGAGGGATCACTCAGGGTCTAGACTGGGTTTGAAATAATTTAGCAGGCTTTTTCCACCCTAAACAAACTATTAGTACATGTATTATAACCAGACAATATAAAGTAAGGATTATAGATATTAAGCAAAAAGGTCATTTGCTTTGTGTCATCTTCAGGGACAACTCAGTACAAGGATAAAAATCACAATTTCTTTGTGCTGAGCACTCTAATAGGAACTGAGGATATAGCAGGAAGCAACAGAAGACTCCTCCCTAAAGAAGCTTATAGTAGAAGACATATATATGATGTAAAGCTATGTTATGCACATAGTAATCTGAGGATTGTATCAGATTGTAACCTAAAGGTTCATAATCCCATATTACCACCATTTGAGTAATCACCATTTTCATCATAAGTACTTTCTACAAAGTGTAATATAAATGTGCTTACTTGAAAGATACTTCCTTCAGCTTGAATTATTTTTACTATGGCCATAATTGGAATCCAAATAATGCAGAAAATAATCATACACCAGCCTAGAGCAACTCCCCAGTCAGGATATGGAATTTGGGCATAATCAGGTCTATGAAATTTCACCAATGACCAGATCAAAATTGCCTGTGAAAGTCAAGTAGGAAAAGACAATTCTAAAGATTAGACTTTATTGCACTAACGATTTCAATTGCACATTCCTTAGAAATAATCTATCAAAAGCAATTAAAATGAAGATACATTCAAACAACTAAGATAATCCAGTAACTAGCCAGAAGAGAGTACTAAATGAACTCATCTAAATAACTCATATTTGGCTTTGAATAGATTCTTCCAAAATGAGCACCTCCGTATAGTTATAAAAAATACAAATACTGGTCCAACATGTTTTTCAATAAAATACTTTACCATGAAATATTTCAGATTGGAAACAAAATAATATCTGAAAATTTCCATTACTGACCTTTTAACTTTAACTTACAATAGTATGATTTTATCCTATGCTATCCAGTTTGCCAGCATAGCACTTAATTCAAGGAGAACGTAAAGTACCTTTTAGTGAACATGCTTTGCACCTTGCTTAGCAGTTGCTTCTATTATTTCCCAAGGCATAGAGCACCCCTTACTGCATACCCAAAACACACACATTCACAAACTACTGGTATATATTTGCTAAAGTACACTTCACTTCTAGCCTCTCTTTGAGAGAGGAAAAACAAACTCAATGTGTGTTTGGGTAAAACAGTGAAATCTGAATCTTCACAAGGAAAACACCTAATGGCCAAGTTAAAAAAAAAAAAAACTTCTTAAAAAACCTATTAGATATGTTGCTGCATTAAAAGTAATTATTTAGAAACTTGTAAGGCAGACAAAACAAAAACCAGAGTCACCTAGTAGTTTCTCTAAACTACTTAGCTAGCTATCTTTTACTAAACTCAGGGAGATGGAATGTAAGAATTTTATCAAATAGGTATTCAAGTTTAATTTTAGAATTAAATAGTTAATTCCATCAATTTAATACATTAATTCCCAGTAATTTAAATGTATTTCCCAATTATCATAATCTTTTACATAAATACGAGAGAGTGGATGAGGATACTGGAGTATCCATGACTTCATGTCACTTTATACAAAATAGATGATAATGTATATCATTTAATATTTAATACTTTTGCATTTTAAATTAAATCCAGTTGTCAAAGCTATTAATGAAAACTCACTGGCTAAAAAAAAATTTAGTGAGAACTTCTTAATTGATAAAGGGCTTATTTTATTATGGAGACTTGTCAAAAGAAGAAAACAATATTTAGTAGTAATGTCAAAATCATTTTGCTAGAATATGGAGCATCCAAAATATTTTAATTCAGTACAGTCAGTCCCAAACTGCTCCCTACTTGAAATTGACCTTATAAAATGTAAAAAATAAAACTTAACATTCTCTAAAACAAACATAATACTTCAGATGTGAAGCACATTCTGGATCAAATTATTTAATGCCCTTTCCTAGGAAAGACTTTTTTTAAAATTTTTATTTATTTATGATAGTCACATCAGAGAGAGAGAGGCAGAGACACAGGCAGAGGGAGAAGCAGGCTCCATGCACCGGGAGCCCGACGTGGGACTCGATCCCCGGGTCTCCAGGATTGCACCCTGGGCCAAAGGCAGGCGCCAAACCGCTGTGCCACCCAGGGATCCCCCTAGGAAAGACTTTGAGACAAGGAGGCAATGAGGACCAAAAGACATCCTCTATGAAGCTTTGCCGCTGCCCCCACCTCCACCATTACAGTAATTCTCCATCCTCTTAAGTGTTTATTTTGTCACTTACTGTCCTGAACTGATATTTAAAGGTATGTCTATATGTCATGTCTCTCGGGTAAGATAACTTTTGCTTTCCCTCAGTTCCTAAATAGCACCAATTGTTGAATTTAACATAAACTGTTGCCTCTGTTGACAGTGGTGAATTTCTTTTAGTAATTTTGGATAGTAAATACCTCCCATAAAGAAAAATGTGCACTAAAATCTGAGTGTTGTTTCTTAGCAATTAGTGTATTGAGATCATATTCCTTGCAGGCAGAGTCTGGGTCTTAGCAGAGAGGTTAGGGACAGTGTAGGTTGTTCAGGATAATTTTTAGGGAACTAGCAAACGAATGACTTATTTTTATTTATTCTATTGATAATTCTTAAGTACATAGGACTTTTAAGTCTATAAGAGCCTGTTCATTTTCTCAAATGGTAAATGTTTAAACATAGCCTCAAAAACAATACTGCAAATATATCTTAATTTAGGCAACTTGCAATCATAAAGCAAAAGTTGAAAGTCATTAATTTATGACAGTTTGCCTTACTGTCTCTAACATGAATTATTCAAGTTTATCTTAGAAATGTTTTATATAGGGATCCCTGGGTGGCGCAGCGGTTTGGCGCCTGCCTTTGGCCCAGGGCGCGATCCTGGAGACCCGGGATCGAATCCCACATTGGGCTCCCGGTGCATGGAGCCTGCTTCTCCCTCTGCCTATGTCTCTGCCTCTCTCTCTCTCTCTCTGTGACTATCATAAATAAATTAAAAAAAATTAAAAAAAAAGAAATGTTTTATATATAGATAGATATCAAATTCATAGCATATTAATACTTACAATCAGAAGAAGAGGAGTAATAACAAACCAGCAAGCTCTCCACCATAGCCAGAATATCCACCTTTTTGCTCCAATCATCATTTCTATATCTTCAATGAATCTGTTCCCACCTTAGAAAAAAAGAGTGCATTCAGTCCTTGCTTACATTTTCCTCCATTAATCATTGTGGCCCCAAATTATCTGACTGTCTAAAAATTTTCCTATACTAACTGTCTAAAAATTTTCCTATACCATATCAATGAAGTATACACCTTTAACTACATATTATTCATAATCAATTTTCCCAGTAATATTATACTTTACTATTTTCATAAATATTTTCATGAAAAGGAATCACACTAAATTAGTTAATAAAATATGTATATAATTCTGTAGTTACTATTTACCATAAATCCAGATGATTCCTATGATTTCCAGTATAGCCGCAATCAAAATACCCCATCCAGCACAGAAGTGGTCAATCAAATGAACCCAATAAATTCCAGCCTACAAAAAAAAAATTACATCTAAGTATATTTTAATTTATTTTTATGATTGATGAAGTCTTTAAATATATGCTCCCTGGTTTCACCTATGCTAAGATATGATAAAGGAATGTTTCCAAATGTAAACACAAATGTGGCTTTAAATATCTCAAAAACGATGCACTTTCCATCCTATACCAAGTCACTGTAAAAAATAAGCATTTAGAATACTTGATTATCAAAATTATATGCAGTGTCTGTGTGCTCTGTAGTAGCTGCCAAAAATATAGCATGTGTTCAAAGTCTATAACTTTCTTGTATTTGGGGAAATTTTCCATTATTGGATCACCTCCCCTCTTCAAAATATTATTAAATTTCAAAATTGTGCTATAATGGGAAAAAATTTGGGCTAAAACCCAGAAAACCTTGATCCGAGTCAGACTTGGATTTGTCACTAAACATCCTCTTAAACCTTTGTTTGCTTATTTAGATTATAAGGTACATTCCAACTAATAATTTGTCTATGAAAAAAATACTATAAGGGGCACCTGGGTGGCTCAGTGGTTGTGTGCCTGCCTTTGGCTCAGGTCATGATCCCATAGTCCTGGGAGCGAGTCCCACATCAGGCTCCCTGCTTCTCCCTCTCCCTATAACTCTGCCTCTCTCTCTGTGTCTCTCATGAATAAATAAATAAAATCTTAAAAAAAAAATCTGTACTATACCTGAGTCACACAGACGAGACCAAGGAGAAACAAAACCAAGCAGCACCCCAGAGTTATAGGAACCCTCATTTTCTTCATCAATTTGGGAAATAAATCTTGAATCGTTGTTGTAATCGTTTCTTCAGAAGGGAAAAATGGCAATGTTATATGTAAACTCATTTGCCAATAATTTTAATCAAAGAATTCAGCTTCTAATCAAATTTATAAATATATGCTGAAAATATACTCTAGGTCCTACTCCTTGCTTTTTTAAAAAACCCATAGGATCCTTTCTTTTGGCAGTTACCACCTGTTGGTTCTGATGAAAACCAAATGCAGCTCTCTTTATTTGTTATTTTTAGTCTGTTTTACAAGGTTTTTCATTGGTAGTAACTACAAGTTAACAGATCCCTGAAGGCTGACGTAGTTTGAAAGAGGGTTATAGGTAAGGAAGAATTCTAGAACTTTTAAATAAAATGAACATTTGAATAAATGGCATGGAGACAGAAAGGCCTTCTAGGTTTAAGAAAGAAATGTGTTCATGATACACAGTACTGGCTGAAAGTAGAAGGATGTATGGGTGAAAGGATGAAGATACAGGTTTAAAATTTTCAAGGGCTTTGAAAGCCAACTAGAGGAGGCCAGACGTTATACTGTATATAGTCAACTATAAAAGTGTATTTATGTAAGAGTGATATGATGAAAAAGTTTCCAAATTTCTAGGTGTGTACCCCAGGGGAAATCCCTATGTGTACATAGAGCCACATGCACGAATAATCATTGAGTTGCATGTGTAATTTTTCAAAATTGGAAATAATCCAAATGCCCATCAGTATGGCAACAGATTGTGAATTCGGTAGATATATAGGAGTATATATCAACACAGATTCACAATACATGTAAAAAAACAACTGTCAGAATGATATGTATGTTATGAAACTTCACACTGATGTGACAAAATTCTTGTGTTATTTATGGACATGTATATAATGTATCAAGCATGGACTGAATAACACACATAATCCATGGTGACAGTTGCTTCTGGGAAGGAAGAAATGTGAATTGTATTAGGGAGAGAAACAGGGGACTTCAATTTCATTTCTGAAGCAAATATGAAACATTCATGTCTGTTCCTTTTGGGTATCTACTGCATGAGTGCTTTGTATTTTTCTGTATTTAAAATTTAGTAAAAAAGAATGTTCAGATTCTAAGGGCAAACCTAATGGGGGCAACATGTTTTTAAGTAGAGGAAACATGAGTAAAATATAACAAAATATAAAATATAACACTCAGAGTATTACTTACCAATGGATGCAAACTGAGAGTCGAGACCCAAAGTCAAAAGCATGAAGAAAAATAATATGGACCAAAATGGCCCACCTGGGAGTTGGGCTAGCGCTTCTGGATAAGCAATGAATGCCAAATCAAAACCTAAGAAAAATGTATGACATTTAATTTAAATCAGTTGCCAAAAAGTTCATATATTTGAACATTTCCAAAATAAGATACTAGAAAAAATTCATTTCAATTTAGCAATGCCATCCATAATGCACATTCTCGAGCAACTCTTTCACTTGTACTCTTAAAAATATTCGACTTGGTTATTCAACAAAATGATAATGTGTGCATGTGTGCATGTGACGTGAATTAACCCATGAGATGAATTTTGTAAATTACTCACATAGGAGATCTTAACTATTTCAATGATTTTGTTTAACTCTTTCTTTTTTTTAAGATTCATAAAGAATAACAATTGTCTTAAACTCCAGAAACGTAAATTATATTAGCCTAGAAATTCTAAAAGAATTACACTATCAAGAAAGATATGCTTATGGAATGACTGTTGTAGTCTTTAGCTGTCTCTCCAAATGTTCACCCAGAATGTGTACTGCCATTTTAACTAGTATATGGACACTTGCAAACTTGTATATAACAAAACTAAAAATTGAATCTTATTTTCTGTTTGATGTATATTATTGTTATAGGTGCTTTAAATTTTTTCAATTATATTATATGATACTTAGTTGCCTTAAGTATTTTAGGTTTCTCCCGAGTCCTAGAAGACTGACCTAGGATTCAGCAGAATTAGCTTCTAACCTAGGCTCTGTCACTTCCTAATGATTTTATCTATCTACTATAAGACATAAAATTTCTCTGCATCAGTCCACTTCTCTGGAAATGAGAAGCTAGATTATCTATGAGGTCTCTTCTAGTCCTAACATTCTATTCTCCTGCATTGGTTTCTCCATTAAATGATACTGGCCATAAATAAATTTTTTTAATTTTTTATATTTTTTTAATAATAAATTTATTTTTTATTGGTGTTCAATTTGCCAACATACAGAATAACACCCAGTGCTCATCCCGTCAAGTGCCCCCCTCAGTACCCGTCACCCATTCACCCCCACCCCCCGCCCTCCTCCCCTTCCACCACCCCTAGTTCGTTTCCCAGAGTATTTTTTAAATATTATTTATTTATTTATTCATGAGAGACACACAGAGAGAGGCAGAGACACAGGCAGAGAGAGAAGCAGGCTCCATGCACAGAGCCCAACGCAGGACTCGATCCCAGGACTCCAGGATCACACCCCGGGCCGAAGGCAGGCTCTAAACCACTGAGCCACCCAGGCGTCCCCATAAATAAAAATTTAATGAGGAATTCCTACCACTAAGAATCCTGGAATTCTTTTCCTAAGATTCTTAGTCAGATAACTAAGCATCCTTAGCTAAAGAAAGTTAGGAAGTTCATTAAATAGATTCCTTTAAAGCTGGGCATAGCTGGATACTCAAAGTTACTTGGGTTTCTATCGATATGATACTGATGTGTTTTAAAAATTCAGACCCAATACTGCACTTGTACATGGAGGAATACACAGCCACACCCACACACATATATACTCTTATATAGTCATTCATATGAATACACACATGTATATATGTATATATACACACATAAATGAAGATAATATGTGTAAAGGCACCCATGTACAGTAGGCAGTTCATATGAAGGACTATGCAAAATTCAGACAATTATCTTCTTAAACAATTGTTCCCTAATATAGTCCTGTTTTCTCAGACAATCTAAAAATTATTACATGATTAAAGCAAACAAATTATATAAGATGAAATGAGAAAGAAAATGCAACACCCTAAACCTTGCTTGAGTGCTTTAAGTAAATTGCTACAAAATGTATTAGTGTTTCTTAAATGAGCTATACTGAATTAATCAAAGTTATTAACGTAGAGCATCACATACCTGATTTTACGACTTGAGAGACTTCCTTTCCAGATATATGAGCCATGTGTCCCAGTATAGAAAAAATAGCAAATCCAGCAAACACACTAGTGAGGCAGTTTGTCAAACAAACTACAATAGCATCTGAGAAGCAGTTGTTATTGAACTTATTGTAAGATGATAGAGCAACTAAGCCACCCCAAGCCACTGAAAGGGAGTAAAATATTTGAGTGGCAGCATCCTTCCAAACCTATAAGAGAAGATAATTCAATTTTTAAAAAGACACACTTTAAATTTTTTTACTTCTATAAAATACTTCATATATACTAATGAATTAATATGAATAATAATGAAATAAACACCAAACCCACTACTCAGCTTAAAATATGAAACGTTGTCACTCTTTGGAAGCCACCCAATGCCCCTTTGTCATCATATCACCCTTCAACCTCCAGTGGTAACTGTTATCCTGACTTATGTGTTTCTCATTTCCTTGTTTTTCTTTATATTTTTACCATAAAAATATGTAAACCCAAACAGTATGGTTTGGGTCTGAATTTTTAAAACACATCAGTATCATATCGATAGAAACCCAAGTAACTTTGAGTATCCAGCTATGTCCAGCTTTAAAGGAATCTATTTAATGAACTTCCTAACTTTCTTTAGCTAAGGATGCTTAGTTATCTGACTAAGCTTTTCATGTTATTGGGTTTATAGAAAAGTTTTCCTAATGGATGTAAACCTATGCAACATGCCTTTTTTCATTCAGTATTGTATGAGATTTATCCACGATCAATTTGAACCACATTACATTTCAACTTTATGTTGAAAATGAAAAAATATGGGCAAATTCATATGGTTTAGTTAAATATCTGTAGTTTTGAACATTTTTTTCACTGCCGTTTGCCCCACTATGTATACCACAGGTCATCCTTTATCTTGCTGAGGGACATTCAGGCTGTTCAATATTCTGCTAGTAAAAATGATGTAGCTGTAAGTATTCCTGTGCATGTCTCCTCATACCTAGTTGAGGAACTGCAATGTCAAAGAGTATATGATGCGTCTTCTCTTTTACTAAATATTGCCATATTATTTTACCACCTACTCTCACCAGCTAGGTGTGAGAGCTCCCATTCCTTCACATGCTTGCCAATATTGGTCAGAATTTTTAATATGGTCATATCTGGTGGCTGTCGAATGAGAGTTTTCATTACCCTAATTACTTACAAGGTTTAGTTTGTTTTTATGTGTTTATATTCCATAGGGTTTTTTTTTCCCTGTGAAATTCCTATTCATGCCTTTTGCCAATTTATTGTTTGGGTAATTTGTCTTCTTTGATCTCTAGCAATTCTTATGTAATTTGGATTCTAATCCTTTGTCTATTATATATGATAACTTTCCTCCCAATTTGTGGTTAACTCTTTTCACCTCTTAACATCGTGACCTTTGATGAGCAAAAGGTTTTATTGTTGTTTTAATGTAACTAAAGGTGTCCATCTTTTCACTTTCATGTATTGTCCTTGATTTCTCTTACTTAAAGAGAAGTCTTAGCCAAAGGTCATAAAGATACTGTCCTACATTTTCTTCAAAAGGATTTAAAGTTTTGCTCATATTGTTTTCAATTAACCTAAAAATTGATACAGTATATATTAAATTGGAAATCCCAATTCATTTTCTTTTCTAGAGTATCATTTGTCTAAAGATGATTTATATTATCAATTATATCAATTGGATGTCAATAATATCAATTAAATAGTCCATCCTTTCCCCCATCAATCTGCATTGCCACCTCTGCCATATATCAAGTTCCAAATGTTCATGAATCTATTTCTGAGACTACTGTTCCACTGGTCTGTAAGTCTATACCTATGCTAACACCACTTTATTTTAATTCCTATAGTATTATAATATTGTTTCATATCTAGTAGGACAGGTCTTCCTTCTTCAAAAACACCTTTTTTTTTGCCTTTTTCTCTTACACATAAATTTTACAATCAGTTCTCAAGATCTAAGAAAAACTGCTGTCAATCTGATTAAAATTTTATTGACTGCATACCAATTTGGGGAGGATAGATACATATCCATTCTTAACAAGGATAGTAGTAGGCAATTTTTGAAGAATGTTGATATATTTAGACATCCTTTAGTTTGTTCGTTTAGAGCCCCGCATAGCTGGCCTCCACTCTTTAAGCAGCCTCCCACTCACTGCATCCAATCTTACCCCTTTACTAGTGTCCCTTTTATAATTTGCCTCTCCTATATCTTTGCTAAAGGACAATAATCTTAGAAACTAATCTAATCTATGGAAATCCATGCTAACAGTGAAATTCTGTAGATAAAACATTACCCAAAGTAACCTAATTGTGTAGATTTCAAGGAATAAGACTGGCAAAGATTTGGGCAAAAGTGTTGTTTTTGTTTTGTTTTGTTTTGTTGTGTTGTGTTTTAGTCCATCTAAAAACAGGACTGCTCAGTGAAAGGCAGGCAATATAAAATGGTGACAAAGAGCTCTAGCTCTGGAGTCAAAGAAAATGAAGTTTATATCCAATACCTCTTACTCTCCTTGCCTTCAATTTATTTAACATTTTTAAGCCTGTTTATTCATCTGTAAAATGGAGAGGATGAAGAAAATGATGATGATGATAACTATTATTATTACAAGTGTACTCAGAATGATGTGAGAATTGAATAAGATAGCATATGTAAAGCAATTAGAATGCTCAATGGTAGCTATTGCTGTTATTGTGGAAAATAATCATAAATTGATAGTTTCTTTTATGGAAATTAAAAACTGTATTTTTCCCCTTGAAAGGTATGTAATCTATTTCCAATTTAAATAGAAATAAAAGTTGTTAGGGAATAAAATTTGCTAGATCTTCAGAATACAGCTTGATGTTAGATTATTATTATATTATAATTGCTTTATAATGGCAGGCAGCCAAAAGAAAGCAAAATGGATGGATGAGATAGGCATAGATAGATAACGGTTATTTCACTTATTGTAACAAAATCATTAGAAATAAAATGCTCTTATTTTTTAGGCAGCTGTACATATTAAGAGATGAACAACATGCTTATGTTGATCTCTCAGCTGCTTTTACTTGATACATCTTTGTATGCATATGTGAATTAGGGGGAGCTGGAAATTGGTGTGGCAGGTCTGGTTTCTATAAAAATGCTACTGCATACTATGATGTGTATCTAGGTTGCAAGTAAAGTGAAGCAAAATTCCAAAAGTAGTTATAATATCCATATCTATCAATCTCATAGCTATATACAAAATTATTAATTTAGGGATTAAGGAATCTTCATTCAAGATGCACAAACTGGCTGTGTAAACTTAACTAAATTTGAATCTTTCTGGGTTTCAGTTTCACCATTGTAAAATGAAGGAGTTAGTACGATAATCACTGAAGACTGGAAGACTCTTCTAGCTATAAATTTGTATGGTCCTCTGCTCTCCTACAGATTGCAACAAAGTTCAGATATCCAAAGAAAAGGAAAAAATATATATTTATGATCCCATACTCAGGATATGGATTGTGAGAGATTAAAAAAAATCTAAGAAAAAATTCTCATTACCAGCAACCCAAAGAAGGGTGGGCGTACTGTTTCTACCACATTGAAGAGGAGGAAGGATTAAATTGTATGTTTCATAAAGAGCTTTAGGTTTAGGTCTGATATTTTAAAGATAATAGAGACATTGAAACAGACAAATACAAAATAATCATATAAAATTTTCAGGAACTGTAAAGCTCAGGTGATCTCAGGCTTGTAAAAGTCAAAGAATATCAAAGGGGCTTTTCAACTGTGCTCAAAGTTAAGCTTAAAGAAAATGGAGGATCTACTTCTTAGAGAAAATGTTGCATCTCTAATAGTATAGTATAACATGACAGCAATAATTGAAATCATTGTGTGCTCATATTCATTTAACAATTTACCATTTTTAAAGTGCATTAATTAATATTTCATCTTGCTTAACAACCTGACAGAGAGAAGATGATGAATCCCAACTTCCATTTTATTTGTTTCTGATTCATCATCGAAAATGGTCTTCGAGTTGGGAAGATATTAACAAACAAGGTTAAAAGATGTGAGGCCCAACATAAATGAAGAAATAAGCAAATGGCCTGTGGACACATCAAACTATATTAATTTCAAAGACTAAAATAATAAAAGTTCATAGTTCTGAAATAATTTAAGGCTGTTCTAGTTAATTCCTGAGTGAAAATTATTTGGGTACAGGAAACTAAAGGCCAGACACTGACATCTCAATTTTCAGAAAAGGTAAAGGATGGATATCCATGACAAAAAAACTGATAAATTTGACTTGCTTACCAGAGAAATTCTACAACAAATAATTAAATGTGCACATTGTGGGGTGCCTGGATGGCTCAGTGGGTTAAGCATCCAACTCTTGATTTCAGCTCGTGTCATGATCTCAGGGTCATGATAGGGAGCCTGCACCAGGCTCCACACTCAGTGTAGAGTCTGTTTGAGATTCTCCCTCTCCCTCTCCCTCTGTCCCTCCCCCCGCTTGCGCTCTGTAAATAAATAAATAAAATCTTCTTATAAATATATCCATATTGTAAGTATTTAGAAAATAACAAATTGCTGGAAATTAGCATGAGTTCCTCAAAGAACACCACAGCAAATAAACTAATAACTATTTTGGATAGCACTGCTAATATGGAAGATAATAGTAACATAGTGTTTCTTGACTTCAACGTAAGACTTGGGGTTTTAGCTGGCCAGAAGCTTAATGTGTGCCAAAAATGTGACGTGTTTACTGAAAAAGTGAAACCATTCATAAGCTATGTGAATAGACGCATCCTATATACAGTCCACTTACTGTTAATGCTCTCTGTGATCAAAAATGCAAAAAATTTTATGTATCCATGATACACACAGCCATTATCTAGTGATAGACTGAAAAGAAGGTTACCCAATTCATATTCATGGCACACATTTATGTTTACAAGTAACAGTTTTGTTAATGGAATGCTTCATTCATTTCAAATTTGTGGTTTAACTTCATAATCCATTAGGTACACTTTGATCTTAATTTGGGGATATTAACTTTTGAAGCAATTAAAATGTGTATTAGATCATTAGACTTTCACCTATAATCTTGAAATCTGTGAGTTTATCCAAGAAGTCTTACTGTCCTACTCATCAACTTGCAGGTAGGTATCCAAACGTGACAAGTTCTTTTTCAGATTGATAGGCCCCAAATCTTTTTGGTCAAATAGAATCAGTTGTACAAATAAGATGACTTTTAAAATTTTTCTGCTAAAATGACCATCTCACTTCCAATAGGAAAGCACTAGTGTCATGTTAAATGGCTACATTAGACTTCCCAGTGAACAGAAACACTAACAAACTTAACAGCATATTCTTTTACAAGCCACTACATTATGATACTCTTACCTGCAACCAAAGATTTTCAGTGTTTGCTTTTATGGTTTACCTCCTCAGATAATCTAAAATCCAAATGAAGTCTTACCTCTGCTTCCCTAAGTTTTGTAAAATTTGACTGTGCTCCAATATAGTATGAAATGCCTTTTGATGCACCCTCCAGAGTTGCACCTCGGATTAGCAGGATGAGTAGGACAACATAGGGGAAAATAGCTGTAAAATATACCACCTAACAAGAAAAACAACCAGAGGTTGATAAGTTAAATTTTTAAGTCATGAAACATAATTGTATATGAACAAAATTGTTAGGCAGTTGACACTTAATAAATCTGGTGATACCAATACCAAAATTGGCATAATTTTCTCTTTCTTTTCCCACTCTGAGATGATCCATTTTCAAAACACTCTAATGTATGAAGCACTATTTCCTGGGTTCACATTGTAAATACACAAAACATCAGCAGTGGTAACTTGGAATCAAGGTAGAGTACCTTCCTAAATATGTCTTTATAAATGTCTGAGGGGACAGATATCACTTCTTAGTGAATTACTGCATTGAGGTGGGAAGGGAATGATTTTATAACTGAAATAACTGAAATAGTATATATTGTCCCCAAGGAGAAGGAAAATAATCTCCTAGTAGACATCCAAATCCCATGAAAGCTGATTAAAGTGAATACCCAACACTTGATATTATTATCCTTAGAGGTACCATTAAGTGAGTTTGATAGCACACATACATGTGCACGGCTTGTATCCTGGATAACACATAGTTCCAGATGATCAGATTGCTTTTGAGGCTGGCTATTCATTAATGTGGATGATTTCTTTGATCCATAGATGTCCTATGTTTGATAATATGCCCAAGGAGACAATTTAAAGTCATCCAGAGACCAATAAAAATTAATTGCCTAGACAAATGGCCTTTAATGGATTATTTCAATATTGATGTCAAAAAGGAACTACAGGTTTCAAAAATGTGCAATTGAAACATTTTGGAAAGTTTTCACTGACTTTGCAATATTCACAGTATTTTTGTGATCTAACAGAGGGTCTCATTATAGTTTAGCATTAACAATGTGCTAGATATTATACCAGGAATACAAAGATAGTAGCCACAGTTACCCCTGTCTTCTGTCTGTAAAGAGGTTTCAGTCTAGTAGTCATACATAAACATTCACTTTTCTGAGTACTGTACAACTGTTCACGAAGAAAATTCCACGTTGTTCCCTGAAATGCCATGACGTTCTTAGGAAAGTTTAAAAAATAAAACAATAAAGGGAGAAAATACAGTGTTTTTCAGAAGAGGACTCTTCACTTAAAAAGAGGGTTCTGAGTCAATTTTGGCAAGCTTTAAGAAAACGACTGCATATTTGATTTTTTTCCCTCTCCCACAAAAGGAATCCTGACACTGTCCTTATATAACTAGGATCTAGAGTTTCTAAACCAGACATTCCAATATACAATTCCATTCAAGATGCTTCTTTATATAATAGGACAGACAATTTTAAACACACACTCAAGCTTCAGAATGCTATATAAGCTAGCAGGGTCCAGTTTGAGTACAGTTGATCCTTGAACAACACAGGTTTGAACTGCATGGGTCCACTTAGATGAGGATTTTTTCAATAAATTCAAGTACTATAAATGTGTTCTCCTATGATTTTCTTAATAACATTTTCTTTTCTCCAGCTTACTTTATTATAAGAATACAGCATATAGTACATATAACATACTAAAATAGGTGTTAATTGACTTTACATGATCAGTAAGGCTTCTGGTGAACAGCATGCTGTTAGTAATTGTGAGGGAATCAAGTTATAGCTGGATTTTCAACTGCAAGGAGGGAGTTGGCACCCCTCACCCCCACATTGTTCAAGGGTCAGCTGAAATTGCACAACCCTAGTACTAGTTTTTGCTTGTTTTGTTTTATTTGTACCAATAGCAGCAATCTTATGTATTTTCCTACAGCCAGGCTGCCTACTTAGAAAGCTTTTCACACATTTGAATATTCCCATTATAGAAAAAACATGCATTTGATTGTGCTTGACATTGAACTGCAATGAAATTGGAAAAGAGCTACATCACTATCTAATGTGTTTTCCAAATTACCTTGCCAGAAGACTTGATTCCTTTAAATAGCGCTGCTCCAACTATGAGCCAAGCCAGAAGAAGACAAAGTGCTAAATACCACACAATTACTCCAGTCTCATCCATTCCACTTGACCGCTGCAGCGCCACTTTACTGAAAACATACAAGTCTTTTTATGAACACAGAATCACTTGTCTTAACACATTGAATTTTGTAATATCTACAGCCAGGGAGATGTTCATGAGTATTCCATCATATTAATGCATTAATGTCATATGAGCTATAGTACAGAGGGCAAAAATAGTTCAATGAAAAGCTAGGCTCTGAACTTTAGGGTTAACTGTAGCCAAAGTTCCAAACCCTAGAATAAAAGATCTACTAATTCTTTTAGCTATGATTTGCCCCCTAGTATTTCAAAGCTTCTTTATGTAAAATAAAAATTAACCTTACATCAGATTATTTCTTTTATTTGTTACAGTATTTTTCTCAAGGTAAAATGATGAAGAACACATCTAAAATTAAATTATTCATCATACTTGTAGTTAGCATCAAACCTAAATGGTCCCAATTTTTAGACCTTTTTCAAAGGCTTTCTATAAAAATCAATGATTTCTATTTAGGACCTGCATGGATCTAGGGTTTTTATTCTTAGTTTGATGTTTGGGAACATTTTAAGTTCCAAATTTTTAAACGGTCACACAGAGCATTAACGCATAGATGCAGAAGAGCTCATTACAGCAAGAGTCAAGGCAGTTTGGTAAGGGTAAAATGTAGGTATAAGTAAGGAAAGTAAAGTGTAATCAATTAAAGTTAATACAAGTAAATATAACCCCAAATATCTATTTTTATCATATAATGATAATCATAAGCAAAATGGATAATGAAGAATGGTAGCCTTAAATAGCACCAAATATTACTCACTACCCAACAGTTTACTATTAGAATTTGCTGAGTATACTCTAAAATTTGAGATTCTTTTTCTTCAAAGAAATGCCCTAAATTATACATGACAAGCACTGAACAAATCATCACCAACAGTATTGTGCTCATTTAACAAACAATTTATAAATGGCAATTTGTTGACTATGAGCTGATCCTGCAGGTTACTACCACTCACATAGGGTAGGTAAGCATTTGAGTCATGTGAAGTATAATTGGCTCTGATTCCCCTTTTTTTCTACTTATACAAGGCAAGGAACAAGCTGATCAATATTTTATTGTTAGTTCCAAAAACTTAAATAACATCTGTTTAAATAGATTATCTAGCATACTTACTTCCAATATTGTTCACTGGGAAGTTGCCCTGGCTGATAAGCTTCACTTCCATTGATGCAGGTTAAACTGTTGTTGTATATCCAGCTTCTATTGACTCGGATGATCTCCCCCGTATTTGTACTGACATTACAATGAGTAACTAAAAATTATATATAAAAAAAGAATACACACACAGAAACGTACTTAGTTTTAGAAGAGTATTTTCCTGAAAAAAAAATGTGTTTTTTTTAAAGATTCATTTACTCATTTTAGACATAGAGCACATGAATGGAGAGGCGAAGGGAAAGAGAGAATCCTGAAGCAGACTCCCCACTGAATGTGGAGACCTATGTAGGGTTGGATCCCAGGACCCTAAGATCATGACCTGAGCTGAAACCAAGAGCCGGCTGCTCAACCAACTGCATCACCCAGGCACCCCCTCCTGAAAAAAAGTTTTCATGGTAAAATAATTAAACCATTTAGATTGTTATTTGGTGAGGGCAGAGGAGAAGTCTTACAAATGGAACAAGCCATGCACATTCAGCATCTTGAATCCTCTCTACTAGTAAACTAAGGGTGATTAAACATCATCCCTTTTAAACTGGGATTACATGTATAGTAATAACCACTATAAAGTAACAATAATTTTGATTGTGATTTAGTGCTCTAAAAAATTTTTGGTATGTGGATTTATTTAACTTATATAGACAAATGACACCTTTAAGTTGCTAAGAAGCATTAAAGCTTTATTACATTATTCTCCGATATACATAGGCAATCCCCGCAGTAATGGTCTACAATATCAATATGACATGATCCCAAAGACCAGCAACTTATGATGTGGATGACTTTCACTGGCTCCTGAAATACCACAGTCCTGTCAGTCCTGTCATGGATAGTGCTGGTCTCTACCACTTTCCCACTTTCTTCCTTCTCTCTTGGCTACTCCTAAGGATGGTTTGGCTTTACTGGCAGCCCTCAAAAATTAACATATTGCACTAATCACTTTTCAAAATTATCCATGCTTTATCCTGCTTTCATCAATAACCTGTGGCTCACTGTAAGATTTTATTTTTTTAATTTTTATTTATTTATGATAGTCACACACACAGAGAGAGAGGCAGAGACACAGGCAGAGGGAGAAGCAGGCTCCATGCACTGGGAGCCCGACGTGGGACTCGATCCCGGGTCTCCAGGATCACGCCCTGAGCCAAAGGCAGGCGCTAAACCGCTGCGCCACCCAGGGATCCCTAAGATTTTATTTTTGAATAATCTCTTAACACCCGACGTGGGGCTTGAACTCACAACCCTGAGATCAAGAGTAGCATGCTCCACTGACTGAGCCAGATGGGCATCTCACTGTTGGTTTACTTTAAATTGCCCCTATATTGGTGAGAAAATCGTGTAACTTTTTAAGCTTATGAGAAAGGATGAACGAATCATGCTCTGTTCACAATATCTTTTAAGAAAATAAGCAAAGTTACCTATAGGTGACCTGCTACAGTTCTGATCCGCCCAAGATGAACAATTTTTCCACGGCAGTTCACTTTGGAAAGAAGCAAACATGTAATAAAGACTGTAGGCAATTATGACATTGTAATAGATCGTCACAAAAATGGATATCAGGACCATCGTAATTCCCACACCTGGAAAAAGAGAACAGTTGAAATCAAAAACAAAAAAGTGCAATTTCTTTTCCTAATTCATTAAAAAAAGCTGCATCTCAATTTCCACAGAATCTATTTTAAAACGAGAAGGCAGGTTCAAACAACACGGTCTATCTTTTCTTTTTTTTTTTTTTGTTTGTTTGTTTTTTTGTTTTTGTAGGGGGGAGAGGAGAGGAAGTACTATTGTCTAAACAGCTTTTTTTTCAAATTTAAAATTATTTTGGTGACTGGCTTTCTGAAACCATTTCCTTTTAGTTAATTAGAAAATGATACTAAGATCAAGGGCAGAGGACCTGTATTGATCTGTCAAGTTCACATAAGGAATCACCCATGGCTATTCCTCTCTTATTATGTCTGAAAGTCCTTGTCAGAGTGAGTCCTGTTCTTGAAAACAAACAAACAAACACTATTCAAAACTCATATCCTATTGATCCTCTGACCAGTACTTACATCTTCATCTATAAGCCAATATTTTGACAAGTAGCAGATAAAGGCTCTGAATTAATATACAGGATTTCTACAAGTGCATGTAAAGAAAATTCAATAGTTCAGTAACAATCTGAATTTAAACTGCCAAAGTTTCTTGAACTTGTAATATCAAAATGTAGTTTAGCATACCGAATACAACTCATATGCTCAAGACTGGCTTTTGAGGTGGCTTCCTTAATATTCCCGCACAATGTTCTATTCACCTCACTACAAATTTATTTTTGATGCTGCATTGAGGCTTTTACAAATAGTTTGCAGCAGCTAGCACATAGCAAAATGATATCTTACCTTCAGACAGGAAGTCTGTTTGATGTTTAATAATAATCAAGGCACTTTGAAAAGCTTTGCCAATGTCCTATTCTATTAGTGTACCCAAGAAAACAAAGTGACCTGCCCTTCAACTTTGCTGAATGAGGCATTGTAAAAGATATGCAAAGGCAAGAAGACAAAAGACTGCATATGAAGTAGAAAAAAGCCAGAGCCATGCAGGTAATGCACAACAGGACTATAACTATGCACCAAGGGATTTTAAAAGCTGAGTGTAGGAAAATAATGACATCCTGACAACCCCCTCTAGTATCCTCCAGAACCCCATCCAGATCTTCAGCCCCAGAGAAACAGAAATACAAATTAACATTTGGTCTTTCAATTTTACAGTAGCAAAAATTCATAGAAACAATGTATGTTTCTTTGCCTTTATCATGTCCAAATATGAAACACTTTCCTGCTACATAGTGGGAACAGCTCTATACACAGATCAATAGGCACGGAAAGAAATACATTTTAATACCAACCTTGAAACAATGGAAGAATCCTCCAAATTGAAACTGGACTTAAGCTAGCAAATTGTCCCAGTGAACACTCTAGGAAGAACAGAGGCAAACCAGCCAGGGCCAGCATGATCGCATAAGGTATCAAGAAGGCGCCTAGAAAATGCAAAATAGAAGCAAAGCACTATTATGTCCCAAACCTCTGATGGCCCTTCGATAACCAGTGTAACATTGTGAAAGCCTTCTGATAGAGTGGAGTCAGAGCACTGGGTTCAGGCCCCAGATTTATTACTTTCTGTGAGAAAGTAATTGATTCTCTAAACCTTGGCTTCGTCTGTGAAATGGGATTCTAGTATTACCTAAAGAGGTTGCTATGATTATTAAAAACAATAGCCTATAAAAGAGCCATCCTGAGGACATGAATGATCACAGGCTTTGGAGCCAGATACACCTAGATTTATATCCTGACTCCACCATTTGCTAGTTACGTGACCTGGGGCAATCTACCTAACTTCCAGACCTTGGGTTCCTCATAAATGGGGAGAGTGATACCAACTCATCAGTCTGTGCTAAGGGTTCGATTATAGAGCCTATGTGAAAACCCTTGGCAAAATGGCAGGCATGCAGTTTATGTCCAAAGTTAGTTTCCCTCCTTTCTCCTTTCCAAATAAGCAGTCTATTTTTTGTAAGACTTCCAGTGCAAATGCAAAATGTGGTTCAGAGTGGAAGCTATTGCAGCTGAGTGGACTATTCTCCAAATAGTCATAAGGGTCTTTCCTCAATGTCCGTAAGAAATTTTTTGGTTTTAAGAGATTCTGAAGTTTTGAGATACATTCAAAGTTAACTTTCCGGGATGCCTGGGTGGCTCTGTGGGTTCGGTGTCTGACTCTCGATTTCGGCTCAGGTCATAATCTCAGGGTCATGGGAACTGCTACGGCTCCACTGCTGGCATAGAGCTGGCTTGAGATTTTCTCTCTCCCTCTCCCTCTGCCCCTCCCCTCACTGCTTGTGCATGCACGTGCACACACACACCCTATCAAAAAAAAAAGTTAACTCTCTATTTTATAAGGTAAGACTAATTCTCCTGCATTTAGATTATCCAGATCCCTTTTTTAATTTTTTTTGACCTTCATTATTTCACTTTTTTCTGCCCACTTTTGGGGCATAATTGCTCATTCAAACTTTTGCCGGGTTGTAGGTAGAAGCACGACAGAATATTAAACTTATTGATCAAGTACATAGCAGTCTTAACAAAGTTTAACAGGAAAACATGGGGATCAGTGGATTCTGTACATTTCACTGGCCCACACTGCACTATTTTTCTCACATATTTTCCATACTATGATATTGTAACATCATACCTGGGAATTACATTTTTCCCAACCTCAAAATATATTCCATTAAAAATAATGACACAATAAAATACTTGTTATGTACACGTCACTAGGTACTAGAACATAGAGACAATATGTTTTTATAGATGTTGCAATGTACATACCTTCATTACTATGACTAATTGAAGTTTTAGTCTTACCATGATAAATATGAAGAAAAGTAATATAGACTCTCTCTGTCTAAATACAACAAGGTAAATCTTACTAGCCCATTACAAATAGGGTGGGTTGGGTTGTTGTTTTTTTTTTTTTTTTTCAAAAAAATATGATTTTCCTTAGTGGTATACTTAGCTTTTTACCCATTATATTATTTTTAATTGATAACAATCATAATTGGTAAATTGCTAACATAATACACTGGTCACAAACTGTTGATACTGCTATCTCAGACCCTATGGTTATATGATACTTCTTCAAAACTAGTAAAAAGAATCCTAGATAAAAATGATTCCAAATTTTAGCAACAGTTTTCCAAACCTGACCATATTTAAAAATCTGATCAATGGGGATCCCTGGGTGGCGCAGCGGTTTGGCGCCTGCCTTTGGCCCAGGGCGCGATCCTGGAGACCCGGGATCGGGTCCCACGTCGGGCTCCCGGTGCATGGAGCCTGCTTCTCCCTCTGCCTGTGTCTCTGCCTCTCTCTCTCTCTCTCTCTCTCTCTCTGTGTCTGTGTGTGTGTGTGTGTGTGACTATCATAAATAAATAAATTAATTAATTAAAAAAAAGCTTAAAAAAATTAAAAAAAATAAAAATCTGATCAATTAACACTTGACAAATCTGAAATTCATGTTCTTCTCCTACACTTGGACAGAGGGAAAAAAACAATCAAAAGAGCCTAGGCTATTCATTACCTAAATGATACAATCTTTAAAAACTGAGAATTAATGTGATATATTAATTTTTAGAGGAAATCGTGAGAGAGATGATAGCATATAAAGAATAATAGCATTTAGTGTGTGTGGGGGGGTACGTTTAAAATTCTCTATTAAACCTAGTTTAATATAGTTCCTGGAAATTTATGGCCACCCCTGGGCCACTATATGATGGCAAGTCACAGGGAATCTCTGAAACTGTGGTTTTTCTGAACCTGAACACAAGACGCTGGAAAGGAGTCTGAATGCTCTTCGCTACACTAGACCTCAGGAATGAGACACCCAAAGGACTGTAATTCCTAACTCATTTTCCAGTTCAAACTTAGACCAAATCCATGACTAAACGATATAGGCTCCAGAGAGGGGAATTATTGCCACCAACACTTAAAGTGTTTGATAAACAGAGCTTCTCTCTTAAGTCTCTAAAGGCCAATATGAATGTTCTAATGCAACCAATTAACAAGGACTATAAGATTGAAACATCACCACACAAAATCCTATTATACCAAGAAAAATAATTATAGTGGCACAGTTTCACTGGTTCCCAATTATGAAATCTAAGGGCATGTCACCTCTACACTTCTAATAGAACCTGTAATTACAAGTAAATAAAATATGGTGTAAGTGAAAAGTTCTTTCAACACTACTAGGGAATTGTGCAATTCATTTTGTTTCCTTTTGTATGTCACCTCAGAGTTAATTTTTTTCTCCTTGTTCTAATGAGTCTTCCTTAATGATCTCTGAAGCATAAACAGTATCATTTTGCAGAAATTAAACACCTAGTCTTGAACTAAAGTCTATTGCATTCTAGAAGGATCCTCCGTATGGTCAATTCAATTAGGAATACGTGTAACTGAATATTGCAGCTTAAAATACTAGACCTTTACTTTTTAATCAACTCCTTCCAAACTTGTATTTCCACAATGTAATACCTTATGCTACTTAAGCAATGTATTTGAGCTTCATATTAGAATGAGAATCCCCTGCCTTTTGCTTTGATTCAGTCTTAAATGAGGCCCAACATAACTTGAGTCTGAACAGATTATCATGGCAACATGCATAAAAAAGAGCAATTGGAAGATTATATTCCATCTTAAATCAGAAACTCAGAAGTGCTAAAAGGGCAACTTTTATCAAGTTTATACCTGAGGATTTTGTGAGGCCAGCTTCTTAACTTGAGCTAGCAACTCATAGTCTAATGATGGATGCAATATGCTTGCTTCCCATTCCCCTACTAACCCAAACTGGCATATACCTCTGCTTAGTTCTTAAAATAGCCTCGGAGGCCATAGAGCACACCATTTAAAATGAAAGAGGAAAGAAGTTGAGGGGGAGAGGGCAATACCTCCACCATTGTTGTAGGTCAAATAGGGGAATCTCCACACATTCCCCAATCCCACTGCATATCCAACCATAGATAGAAGATAATCCGATTTTTTGGACCAGTTACCACGGTCCTGATTCTCATCATTTTCACCAACATGGAAATTCTCAGATGAAGCTGTCACTTTCTGGAGAAAAGAAAATATCAAGAGTTTGTCTTTCTACTATTAAAAATCCACAGAAGCATAATTTCACACACAGAGAGAGAGAGAGGTGGGGGGAGGGAATGAACCCTGAAAGCTGTAGCCAAGGGAAAGGCTTTCCAATGGTTGAGGAGATTTCTGCTAGTGGCTGCTTCCACTTTACAACATTTACCCCTTAAAATGGGGGGAAAACACCCGAACACCTCTTTAGATGGATATGTTTGCTACTTCTTTGGGTGAGATCATCCAAATTTTGCTAGAAAAGTTACGTGTGGTACCCAGCATGAAAGGGAAATGAGGGCAGACAAGTAAGGCTTCAAATACAAGTCTTAAAGAAGACTGGAATTAAATCAACGTTCTTGAGATTGCAGGAGATCTTTGAAAAGAAGGATACAACATAGCTTCTACTAAAACAAAGAATTTACAGACTCCTTTTGCTATCCGCTGATAGTTTGGGATGTTCGGAGTTAAGGGAAGTTTGACTTCACTCCCAATCTTGGAGAATAAAATCGAGGCTTCGCTGGAAGCCACAGAATAATACTCCTAGACAAATTCTCCTGTCCCACCAGGTAGAGCAGCTCTTTCTGCACCTCAGAGGGAAGGGGTTCTCTCCCAACCTGTTAGCTGCTCTGGGCTTTGGAGGGTTCCAGGTCAGATCAGGACACTGCATTTTCTCATTTCCCTCCATATGGACACAGTCTGGTCAGGGACAAAAAAAAAGCCCCAGGATTTTGTGGGCATACCCAAGGCAGAGGTTGAGGTGACCCTAAGTCTTCTGGCTACCCAGGAAGAGCTGTTCTCTTTTTCCTCTACTCTTGGGGACATCTCAGGCACACTTGAAGGTAGTTGAAGAGGAATGTGGAGAACAAGGAGCAGCCAGCAGAAGGCAAAGCCTGAGACTGCCTCCCCCGAAGTTTACCCTTCCCAGGCGCCCCCCCCCTCGCCACGCCTCCCACCGTTTCCAGACCCCTACCTCCTTCCCTCTGCACTTGAAGAAGCTCGGGCACTTCAACTTGTCCATGGTTGACTCACTCCCTCAGTTCGCTCCGCCTCGTCTCGCAGTCTGGCCGAGCTCGCCCGGCGGCAGGTGCTCACTCCCCCGTTGCTACCTGCCTGAGTGAGCCACCTTGCCCAGGGGTGGGACCATTTATGGAGGGAGCTCTCCCCTCCCCCTTCAGGGCGCCCTGTCGTGTCAATTACCGGAAGGGACTAAAGTGAGGCTCTGGTTTTCCCCCGGGGAAGCTGGCATGTAGCAATCCCCGGCCCCGGCCCCGGCCCCGGCCCCGGCCGAGGGCTGGGCTGGCGCGAGCCGAGCAGCCCGAGCGAAGGGACTGACAGCCCTGACTCAGAGCCTGGAGGTGCCTTCGCAACCTCGCCTCGGTCCGGCTTCCCGGCTTCCCCCTGACGTCCTCTCTTACTCTGGTCTCTGTCCTGACGCCAAGTGCTGATCTCCACCGGCGCGGGGGGCGGAGGGGGAAGGGCACGGTCTGTGGGGCCCGCCCCGTTCCCCAAGTTTCTTCTGAACAGACCCCGTCGTCCCGGGCCCCGGGGTTTCGCCAAGTTTTGCCCCTCACTAGTCAGCGCCCGGTGCCCCGGGGCGAGCGCCGCTCCCGGCGGGAAAGCTCCTGAACCGGGCACCTGGCAAAGCAGCTACCTGCGATAAGGTTACTCAGCTGGCTCTGCCTGAAAAGAGCGACTTGGAGCCGCTGTCTCGGGGACCTTCCTCAGCCTTCGGGACAGCGTTGCCCTTTACAGGGATTGCTTTGTGCCGCATTTCAAAGAGGGAAAACAAAAACAAATGATCGAGCGGGTTTGTGGGAAATTCTAACCCTAACAAAGGACTCCGCTTTGCAAGAGTAAGGCCTAGAAAGTAAACTATGAGGAAGCATCCCAGCTTGGCCAGGGAGGAAAGAATGACCGTAATGCTGTTTACCAGTGTATCACCTTTTCATCCAAAAGCTCAACGGATCATCTGACTTGGGTCAAACATGGTGGCAGTTCTCTGAAACACAGCCCGAATGGGTGCACACAGGGGAGCCAGCAGAGAGTCAAATTCTATACCCTAGGTGCAGCTCCTTTGCTCTCCATCCACCCGATGGGCATTTCCCATTTGCAACACAAATAGACCCCCGAGGAGTCTGGGCAGGCAAAGCAGAGGAAATCTCCAGAGGGAAGTGGGAAGGTAGGTAGGTAGTCATGAGAAAGCATTAATGAATTTCATCTCCGTCTTGAACATAGCACATGCTGGTGTGCGTGTGCACCTCTTAGTATTATATGCACACTACTGGGGGGGGGGAGCTAAAATGAAGGAATTATTAGCCTGTCTCAGAAGAGAGGAGAGGAAAAGGGACATATAACCCTCTGTTCAAAATGATGAGCTGAAAAACAAATCTAATCGCATTTGCCCAACTATCAACATCTCACAGAAATTAAAGGGAGCACAGAAAACAGACGGGGACTTTGGGACTAGGAAGAGAATAGGACTCTTGGGAATACATAGATTATGGGAATATCAAGGCAGGGGTAGGGGGGAATGCAGAGAACACAAGTTGGAGTTCTCCCTGCCTGTTACACAGTAGAGAAGCATCTAACAACTTAGAGCATCAGAGGCATAACACTTAAAATGGAAGGTATTCGAGAGAAAGCATTGTTAGTTTATGTGTTTGTTTGAGGGATAGTTTCCCCGCTGTCTTGCATCTTTTGCCATTCTCTGCCTCAGACTCGTAAACTTGCATGTCCTCCCCCACACAGGCACATCCATGCTGGTTCCCACCTCTGTGCCTCTGCTCATGCTATTTCTTCTTCTGGAAATTCCCACCTTCCTCATTTGGTTAGCTACTACTCATGCTTTAAGACTCTACTGAGGTGTCACATCCTCCAGGTCTTTCCACAATGGTTGCACCTCAATGACTGCACACTGGGCTTACTTGCCTCTCCTCCATAGTCCTATGCCGCCCCATACTCATGTTACATCATGTGAAATTATTTGCTTACAGTCCTCTAGACTGCCAGCTCTCTGCATGTTAATCATTCCCGTGTTCCCAACACCTAGCACAAAACCTGACATGGACAGGCACTCAGTAAATGCTGATTAGAAATTTTGAATCAGAGAGGCCACTTAATAACTCCATGGTCAGAAAAGGGAAAGGACACCTGGTCTACCATCCATCCCCAAGAGATCATAAAATACCAGGACTGCATTTCCTTCTCTTTGGGTTCTGATTTATTACCTCACAAACAAATGGTGTTTGTGGATTTTTTTTTCATTTATTTGAGACTCGAAAGAAGTATGGAAGTTGAGTGGGCGTAAGAGAGAGGGAACTACATAAACTCAGCCAAAAGGGTATGAATGAGCATGGTGTAGGAGACTATGAGAAGAGTCTGCTAATTGACAGGATAATAAAAAATAAAGTTGGGGAGAGAAAGTGTGACCATTTATAAGCTTTGAAATCCAGGCCTAAGCCACGGTCTCGTAGGCAATAGTAAAGTGATTGTTAACTTGGGAATGACACATAGTACACTCTACTTTAGTTGTACAAAACACCTGAAAATTATAATTAACAATCTCCATGCACCAAGTTGTGCAATGCTGGACTTTTAACTATGGGTCATCTATTCCAGGACACCCACACCACAGCCATGAATCTGCTTAGCTTTAAAACAAAGAAAGAAAGAAAGAAAGAAAGAAAGAAAGAAAGAAAGAAAAGAAGAAGAAGAAAGAAAGAAAGAAAAAGAAAGAAAGAAAGAAAGCATTGACAGCAATTTAAAGATTTATTTAGTAAATCACCAGCAACTAAAGATCATAACTGTAATTTGGCCAGGAAAAAAATTAAAGACCGATCCAATAGTTATATCCCACATTCTTTGCCTGTAGTATTGAGATTCAGTTTATGTCATTATTCATGGAAGTCCCTTTGATATTGTTTCTGGTCACTAAAGATAAAGGAGACTCATTACCTAAAGCTTTCTTCTAGCCTGGATATGAAATTTTTCACTATTTAGATGTGAAGATTTTGCACTACTCAGAAGGTCTTTGAACAATTTCACAAACCCAGTGTCTTTTTGAGCAACCACACCGTTCTGTAGCCCTCTTCTGGAAGAACCCCAATAAACTTCACCAGCTGAAAACCTTAAGAAAAGAAACCCTACTAGTCTATCAGCAGGAAAAATAAATAAATATATATATATATATATATATATATATATATATATATATATATGAAAAAGAAATATATATGAAAAAGAAATAAATAGATATATTTTAAATATATGCATACATACATATATATACATTTAAAATCCTATCATAGTAAATATGCATACATGAATTATCCCTTGAAAGTCTATAGTTTCAAGGGTGCCTGGGTGGCACAAGTGGTTAAGCATCTGACTCTTGGTTTCAGCTCAGATCATGACCTCAGGGTAGTGACATTGAGCCAGCCCCATGTTGGGCTCTGCACAGAGTCGACTTAAGACTCTCCCTCTCTCTCTGCCCCTCCCCACCACACTTTGGCTCTCTCGCTAAAGTAAATAAATAAATAAACCTTTTAAAAAACATTTAAAGTCTATAGTTTCAGACATTAAACACTTGATGAAAAAATAAGACTCCACCCGTAATCAAAACAAATTAATAAATAATAAATTATTTCTTTTTAAAAAAAGTGTCTTTCAATTCCAGGAAGCAAGACTTACTTATGAAAGACAAATTGCATAGATGTTCTTGCTGCCAGCCAAGGAGGTGATGATTCTCTAGCTGGGACACCTACTGAAGGGACAAAGAAAATGCAAACTCCGTTCTTACAGAATACTAGAGGGTGCCATGCCAGAGAAACTTGAAAGAAAATGATAGCCCTTGGTGAATAATTTCATATGGATGGTTTCTAAACAGGAAAAGTTAATCTGTCAAGTTTCATAATTTTTTAAAGTAGGCTCCACACCCAGCAAGGAGCCCAACTCAGGGCTTGAACTCAAAGCCCTGAGATCAAGACCTGAGCTGAAATCACAAGTCAGTTGCCCAACTGACTAAGCCACCCAGGTGCCTCAAATTTCCTAATTTTTACATTCACTGTAGCATACCATACAGCTTTTCTTAAGTGTACAAATCAGAGGTGTACAGCTTGATAAATTTTCACAAACATAGCACTCCCAAGCATCTAGTTTCAAGTTCAAGAAACAATAGTACCAGGACCTCAGAAGACCCCTTCTTAATCTCAAGGTTAATCACTATCTTGGATTTTTTTAACACCATAAAGTAGTTTGGGCAGGTTTGGAACTTCATATAAATGGATATTATTGCACATACACATTTATGTCTGACTTCTTTGAGCTCAGCATTATGTACTGGAGATCCAAACATATTGTAACATGCACCTGTAGTTCATCTATTGTCATACTACATGGTATTCCAATGTATGACTATACCATTATTTATTGATCTGTTTTACTAATGGACACTTGGGCTGTTTCCAGATCGGGGCTGTCTTGAAGATCATGGCTATGAGCTCTCCTGTAACAGGTCTTCTGTGCATACTTTTGTTAGGCATAGACCTAGTGTGGATGTTCTGGATCACAAGGTATACCCTGTTTAGCTTTAGCCGATGTTGCCAAATACTATTCCAAAATGATTCTCCAATTACATTCCCTCTAGCACTACCATATCGATTTTAAAGGCCACGTGGAATAGAATGGGCTTGTGGAAGGAAAAGAAGCAAGATGGAAGGAAGTAAGCACTTGATGGGCAAAGAGGAGAAAAACTTACTGAGCCAGGTGCTGTGTTAAGTGAGCCACATTTCTAATCTCATTTAATTCTCATAGAACCACTTTGAGGTAGGAACAGCCATTTTACAAATGGAGAAACAGAGGCCCAGAGACATTAAATGACTTGCCCAAAGTTACACAGCTAGTAAGTAACGGGTCTGATATTTCAACCCAGATTGTCTGACTCTCCAGGTTATGTTCCCAAACCCCCTTACTACAAGAACATGAGCACAAGATGTTAGGAAATGCTTTATCTGTGGGATTACTGCAGCACATGACTTGACACTTCATCAGCAGGAATGATGATATGGAACAATTAGGCATCATTTGACCCTCCATAGCCAGTAGAACAGTCCACAGAAATGACACTCTTTTTAATCTCCTCTTTAGGAAGATTGAATAAGCTTTTCCATATTGCCTCCTTGAAGGAAAAGTCACAACGTGAAACATTTGTGGCAC